CTTATCCACGGGGAAACACAGTCAGAACTATGTCGAATGCAACGGCCATCTTGCCAATCCGGGGACAGCACGATATAGGATTCCATTCAGAATCCGCTCCACGGTCCACTATTTCCAGCGGCTCTCAAGCTTCGCAGAATTCTCTCTGTTTAATCCAGGATTAACGGAGGGAAGAACGTGTACCGGAGGAAACCTTTTCGAGCGATTTTTTCTCTTTATTGACGCCACCGCCGCCGTTGCCGCCACAGGAAACCCAACCGAGAAGAAAGCCATTCGAGCAGGCATCGCAGCGGATTGCCGCACCTTCCGGAAGCTGCCTTATCGACCGGAAATGCCGTGGCTGGCATCCACGTTAGCAAGAATTAAGAGGAAGTTTGGCAAGGGCCTTCTCTTCGAAGGGCCATCCTTCAAACCGATTATCAGCTTCTTCTCGAGCCTTCTCCTTACCCCTTTAATACCTGGAAATCAAATCTCTAGAGGGGCTCTCTGTGTCCCTTGCCTTTTTCCATTTTCCACAACGAGAAGCGCGAACACTTTCTCTCAATATATTTTCCACTTGTGGCAGTCCATCAGGATAACACTGGAACGATTCGTGATCCATTCGACGAATACCACGAGACGAGGACAATGTCCCATCACACCAGTAACTCTTTAAAGGCGTACTGCTGTGACAGGACAATATCCCCGGCGAGTGACTGAACGTGTCTATGTCCGTTGCAGGTTCCCTCGAAGTAGACTCAGAATTTGGCGCGATGCTGTTCTTCTCCGTTCGCAACGAGACGCGCTCGTTCAGGCGTCCTCGGAACGATCGCGAGCGTAACACCGAGGGTCGGTCGACCGTCAGAATGACGAGAGGCTGCGGTAGCGGTATCAGCAAGACGAGTTTCGAAAATGGCGATTTTTGGTGGTAGTTGGTGGTGCTTGGTGGTGCTTGGTGTGTATCGTGGTGCCTCGCCGTTATCGGCATCGATCTGGTTTTTGCGGAGGCGGTATCGCTCGGTCGAGCGTCCCGACGGCACTGCGTCGCTCGCTGGCGACGGCGCCTCCGCACCCTGTCCCTCCCCCACCCGAGGGTGTTTCTCCTCCAGGCTCGGAGCCCCACCAGCCACCGTTCCACCCTCTCCCCCCGCCGTTTCGAGCCCCTCGACGCGGTCCACGAAGGCAGGCCGGAAGGGTGAAAGGGTGACTGGCTGGTGCGCATGTCTAGCCGCGTATATTCCGCGTGCGAGTGAGCATGAGCGCAGGGGTGAGATGCGCGCGCGCGCGTGTGGCCATCCCGCACAAGGGCGGCAGGGAAAGGGAGGAAAAGTAACCCTCGACGTTGCCGAGGGCCAACCGGGGGGGTGG